GCTTTAGATGTCACAAATATGGTCATTATGCTTCTGAATGTTTCACTGAGCTGCCAAATTATAAAAAAAGAGAGGAGAACTCAAATTTTGTGGTAGAAACGAATTAACCAGAAACTTTGTTGATGGCTGTACATGAAGGATGAAAGATTGAGTCTAATATTTGGTATGTCGATACAGGCTACAACAATCACATGAGTGGAAGTAAGTCTTCTTTTTCGAATCTAAATGAAAGTTTTCACTCTACTGTCAGTTTTGATGATTTCTCTACTGTGAAAGTGATAAAAAAAGGTGATGTTAAGATACATACTAAGAATAGTCTTGTGAAAATAATTTCTACTGTGTTGTATGTTCCTGACTTGAAAAGTAATTTGTTGAGTGCTGGTAAGTAGCAAGAAAAAGGGTATGTCATTACAATTAAGAAAGGCGCTTGTGAAATTTATGACCCTGATAGAAGAAATCCTATTGCGACTCTTCAGATGAGTTCTAACAGGTTATTTCCAATGAAATTTGAAAGCATTCAATCTTGTTTGATGGCTGAAGTAAAGGACCTCTCATGGTTGTGGCATTTTCATTATGGCCACTTAAGTTTTGGTGGACTGAGGGCTCTCAATAGAAAAACATGGTGACAGGGCTTCTGAAAATTACTGTTCCTTTCCTAGTTTGTGAAGAATGTGTTGTCAGCAAACAATATCGTTCTCAGTTTTCCAAAGAGAAGTCTTGGAGAGCAAAGGATGTGTTAGAGCTGGTGCATTTAGATATTTGTGGCCCAATAAACCTATCTTCTAATAGAGGTAAAAGATACTTAATTACCTTCATTGATGATTTTTCAAGGAAAATGTGGGTTTATTTTTTACAGGAAAAATCAGAAACTCTTACTACGTTTAAAAGTTTGAAAGCTCTTGTGAAAAATGAAGCAGGCAAGACTATTAAGTCTTTTCGAACAGATCGGGGTAGCAAGTATTGCTCAAAAGAATTTGAAGATTTTTGCATGCAACATGACATTCGAAGAGAACTTACAACTGCATATACACCACAACAAAATGGTGTATCGGAGCAGAAGAATAGAACAATTCTTAATATGGTGAGAACTCTATTAACAAGAGGAAGATTTCCAAAGACTTTTGACCGGAAGCTGTAATTTCGAGTATTCATGTTTTAAACAGAAGTCCAACTTTTGCTGTTCAAAACAAGACTTCTAAAGAGACTTGGAGTGGAAGAAGACCAGTTGTAGATCACTTTAGAATCTTTGGCTGCCTCGCTTATGCCCACATCCCGGATGCGAAAAGGAAAAAATTTGATGACAAAGCTGAGAAATGCATCTTTCTTGGTGTAAGTGAATCCTCCAAAACCTATAAATTATTCAACCCACTGACGAAGAAAAGAGCACCTGGGATTGGGATGGGCAGCAGTCTAAACAAGTCCTTTATGATGATGATGCTAAACAGGAGCAAGTTCCAGCAGTTGTCATGCCACAAAATTCTTCAGATACAACTCAAACAGCCACTAGAATTTCACAACCAGTTGCTTAAGTAAATGAAGAAGGAGCCCAATCGGTTGGTCGAGTTAGAAGAAGGCATGGTTGGATGGAAGACTATGAGGTAACTAGGTTAAGTAATCCAATTACTCATTTTGCTTTGTTCACAGATTGTGATCCTACAACTTTTGAGAGTGCCGTCAAAGAAGAAAAAGGCAAAAGGCAATGGATGATGAAATCAATTCAATTGAGAAGAATGACACTTGGGAGCTGTGTGATCTTCCTAAGGGGCACAAAACCATTGGTGTAAAATGGGTCTTCAAGACAAAACTAAACAAAAATGGTGGTGTTGACAACTATACAGAAGTATTTTCTCCAGTTGCAAGACATGACACGATCAGATTGGTGGTTGCATTAACAGCGCAAATTTCTTAACCTATCTTCTAGTTAGATGTCAAATCAGCATTCTTGCACGGGTATTTGGAGAAGCAGGTATTTATTGAGCAAACCCTGGCTATATTAAAGTTGGAAATGAGAATAAAGTTTTTAGACTGAAAAAGGCCCTTTATGGATTAAAGCAAACTCCAAGAGCTTGGTATAATCGAATTGAGACTTATTTTCTTAAGGTTGATTTTTATAAAATGTCCTTATGAGCATACAATGTTCGTTAAGATTGAAGATGGGGGGAAACTTCTCATAGTCTTCTGGTATGTTGATGACCTTATATTTACTGGAAATTGTGATACTATGTTTGGTGAATTCAAGAAGTCCATAATGAATGAATTTGAAATGTCTGATGATGGATGCATTATATTTACTTGGTTGGATGCATTATTTTCTTGGCATAGAAGTAATGTAATCAGATGATGGAAATTTTCTCTCAAAAGAAATATGTGGGAGAAATTTTGAACAGATTTCAGATGAAGGATTGTAATTCGATAAGTACTCCAATTGAATGTGGCGTGAAGCTACACAAAGATCATGATGGGAAGAAGGTTGATAGCACACTTTACAAGCAAATTGTAGGCAGTTTAATGTATTTTACTGCAACAAGGCCAGATATAATGTATTCTGTGAGTTTAATCAGCAGATATATGGAAAGTCCCACGGAGTTGCATTTGTTAGGCGCCAAGAGATTCCTTCGTTGTTTGCAAGAAACTCAAAACTTAGGGATATATTACAGGAAGGGTGAAAAACCTAACTTGGTGGGTTATACTGACAGTGATTATGCAGGAGAACAAGATGATGGAATGAGCATTTCTGGCTATGTTTTTATGCTTAGAATAGGTGCAATCTCCTGGTCGTCAAAGAAGCAACCAATTGTCACTCTATCCAGTACAGAAGCTAAATTTGTTGCAGCTACGACTTATGCTTGCCAAGCCATATGGCTGAGAAGAATACTTGAGGAGTTGCAGTTCAAGCAATATGGAGTTACTATAATGCTATGTGATAACAGCTCTACAATCAAGTTGTCAAAGAATCCAGTGCTACACGGAAGAAGCAAGCACATTGATGTGAAGCTTTACTTTTTGAAAGATCTTTGCAAAGATGGAACTGTTGATTTGATGCATTGCAAAAGTGATGATCAAGTTGCTGATATATTCACCAAGGCGCACAAGAGGGAATCGTTTGTGAAGCTCAGAGGATTACTAGGTCTCTGCACCCTAGGTTCAGTCAAGGTTGTAAACTGATGTTAGTAAACATCAGTTTAAGGGAGGGATTGTTGAAAATTTTATTTATATTATTGTTAAATTTGTTTTTCAAATGGAGTGGCCTAGAGTTTAGGGATTTGCTGTACGTTGGAGTCTTTCAGTTTTGATTTAGTCAGCAGATTTAGTGGTTTATTGGTCTAGTCTTTAGGAGTAGTTGGGTTATGAAGAAGGTGCCAGATATGGGACCCAATCTTTAGGGATTTCAGTTGTGCATTTTGCCTATTTAAAGGCTCCAAAGGTTCTGAGTAAAACACAACTTTGGCCACAGTATTACTGTTATTTTTTCTGCAAATCTCTTATCACTGTGTTGAATCTTGATAACTAATTTCTTCTTTAGTATTTGTTTATTGAATTTGTTTCACATTATAATTGATTTTGGAAATTATTTAAAATTTGAATTTTATTGAAACTACCGTAATCTGTTACGTTCCCTGGTTAGGTGGTTTTGAGATTAAGAAAATGGGAAAATTCAGATTCTGTTTGATTGCTGATGGGAATAAGAGAAGATTAAAGAAACCATAACCAAAATTTGAGATTCAAAATTCGCCTTTGATCGAACTGAAAGAGCAGTCAACTTAGCCATGGCGTGTCAAATTTGCCTAAGTTCCATTTGATTGTTCTGTACTTAGGTCCCAATTACTATGGTAAATGTGGGTAATCTTAGAATTATTTGGCTTTGGTCATTTTGTGTTGTAATGAACGAACTGTCAACTCAACCAGGCATTTTGCATATTTTGAATCTGTTACTGGAATGATATAGAACAACTGTGATGCAAGGAATTCAAGGAGGAGACCGGCTTCGATAAAGACAAAGCACGACTGGCAAGAGAGGATTAGAAACTTAAGGATAGGAACAAGAGGTGCTGAGGAAACTGAGAAAACAGAAAATCCAACACTGGCCTTTGCACTTTTTGATGAGAATATATGCTTCGCAAGTGAGAGAGAAGTGAAGGTATGTATGTAAACTTTGTCGCTTGTTTGCTTGATGTTGACTGAACAAACATTAATGAGAGTGTTTGGATAGCACAAATATCTCAAATAATATTTCGCTTGCATCATAAACATATTTTTCAACCCATCTTTTTATATTTTCAATTATCTTTTTATCTCACATACATTACATCACAAAAAATGTTACAGTAATTATTCCAAATAATATTTCAAATAATACTCTATCCAAACAAATCATATTATTCCTGTAACAGCTATTATGAGACAGCTTGCCGTAGCTGTTTGAGTAAGATTTCACTTCACCACTTTTGGTGTACTTTTAGTTTTGAGTATTTTGTTTCACTGGTTTTGAAGTTTGACTTTAGTACTACTGTATTAGGATTGTAAACTCTTGTTTGGATACATTATTTATTTTTTCAAATAATATTTTGTATACATCATAAATTCATTTTTCAACCCACTTTTTTATATTACTAATCACCTTTTTATCTCACATATATCACATCACAAAAAGTACTACAATAATTATTATGAATAATATTTCAAATAATACTCTATCCAAAAACTTCAGCAGCACCTCTTATTCATACAGGTGCTTGGTCCATATATTTTGATATAGCTACTGAGGTTGGGATGTGAATTCTTAATGTGCATGCCAAACCATGGAATATATTTTTCTTTTACACTTAAGTCCTGGACAGGACAAATATTGGACCCCCTATTATATTTGCTTCTCTGGCATTTCCTCATTTCGCATGCGAAAAGGAGGATACTCTTCCAATTTCTTGATGCAAACTTGGCAAATAGACAAACAAATGATAATGCTATTGGACCTAAAAGTGTTATAACGTTTTAATTTCTTGGGCACGTCTTATCCAGGGCTGCAAAGAAATACAATTGATTGAAGGATCTCCAGGCTCCATCAAGAGACTCTTCACCTTTGAGAGAGAGGGCTGCGTTGAGCTTCTCAGCAATCAGCAATGAGGTCTTTCTCACTCTCGGGAAAAGGATGATAAGTTCATCAATGAGTTTGGGTCGGATGAGAAAGTAGTCTCTCTGATCAAGTCACTACTAGATGCAGGTAGATGAATGCTTTGCTGATTTATCAGTATGTCTTGCCTTAGCATTTTCTAGTCTTTGTATTCAGCTTTTGCATTGCTATGTGATATGTTTTATTTCCATCATAATATTTGCAAGATACTCACAGGAGGACATTTTCCTGGGAAGAAGGGTGACCTTGGCCGAGGAGAATTTATCACTGTCTCATCTCTGACTAGAGATATTCATGGTGCTCCAGCTGAAAGTTTTGTTGTTAAGCTCTCTGAAGCAATTGGAAGCTTGAAAATCCTGCGGAAAATGTCATCCTTTTGGTGTAGAGTTGCCGTTGAGGTAAGTCGACGGTATTGAACCTGAACTCAAGATATTTGGACTTGTTTTGCTGGGGAAATTTAAATTCTCTGTCTATTTCTTTTTTGGCTTTTCCTGCAACCAAGGATGTGCTCGACATGTTGCTACAGCTCCTGTCGTAGTGATACCCTCATCTAAACGCTACCACGCGAGAATGAGCAGAGCCCAAGCTTGACCTTATGTGTACATCCTGAGATGGGATTGTGTTATTGCCGACCTTTTAAGCCCTCCCTCTTGTATTGTGTGGTAAACGCTCTTTTCTCTGAAGTTGTGGCTCCTACCCGTCTGTGACTACAGTTTACTTGAATAACATGAAATAATTCTGACATTATGTTTTGTATAACGACTTTTAGTACGAGTTGAGTTTTATTACTTGGTTCAAATACTTCAATTCCTCTCGAAGATTTTCTGAAATGCCAACTTCAAATATTTTGTTTATGTGCAAGAGAGAACAGATGCTCTACAAAAGAAAAGCATATGAAACAAAATTAGGCACATTAATAACACAGTACATAGGTTAAAATTAATGGCAGTCGTAGCTCCAGCTATAAGGGATCACGACATCTCCTATCCAGTAAATACTTCCCTATCAGAATCTTAATGTATAGCAGTAGACAATAACAACTTCAATGTTCAAGAGTGGACAAATACCTACAAATAACAGCATAAAGAACTCAATACAACAAAAACCAATGCAGTTATTGTCTTTTTTTAAGCCTTATTTTTACTTAGAAAGACATCAGAAGTGTAGCCACCCTGAACCTAATGCAGATGTGAAAGAACATGTTGCTTCAACCTAATAGTTATTGGCAGATACCATTTCTGACCATTGTAATATCAATCTAGGCTCGTCCAAAAAAATTTATTGAGGGCTCCATCAACCAGAGGTTTATTTCTTAAATTTCTATACCAATCTCCATGACAAAACTTAATCAGAAAGTGTTATATGCTTAGTAAACAAAGGTTTAAGTAAACTTAAGCAATTTTTTTTACGCAAACTTGAGCAAATATGATATACTTTAGCTATTATTTTAGTTCAAATTCAATAAGGAGATGATCACACTGAAGCAGAAAAAGCCTACCTTTACAAAAGCTTTCCAGTCGCTACTTGTGGAAAAAGAACTTGGAGAATTGAACTTCTTTAAAGACAGAGAAAACACACCATGTTAAACTACTAAGAACAACTCTTTACATGATCATCAATGATTTGGTTGTGCTAGACAAATCCGAATAAAGAAGTGCTTGAAGGGCTTATTTGGTGAAACAAAGAGAATATGGATGCACCTTGAGTATGTGAGGAATATCTTTTATGGACTGCAGTGTATCATGCAAAGTGGCCAAAAGTTCTTCAGCAGAATGGAAGAATGTTATCTTGATTTGTCGAAGAATAAATCTAATATGAACTGGTATTCCACACATCCCTGAAGCCATCTTCATTGCATAGTCTCAAGGTAGGTAAACCTTCAACTCTGGGCTTAAATTCTTTAGCACCATGTCATCAAAGATTTCATTCGAATACGACCAATCTCATTTTCCATCACTTCAAATTAATAGTAACTCCAATAGCACTGGTATGGTGCTGCTTCAAAATAGAAGGATACAGCTGCTTCAAAATAGAAGGATACAGCATCAAAACGCTTGTTCAGTTTCTCAATGTCCAGTATAGGCCTCAAAAACCAGTTCCTAGTAGACAATTGAGTTAATAGGTCAGAGGATTGAGGTAGCACTAATAGACCAATACTAACAATGTCGATTCTTGATTGTCAACTAACCTCAAAAGACGTCCGCCCATTGGTGTTACACACTGGCACAGTCAGAAATTATCTATCCAATCAGCAATTGCAAATTAAGACTAGAACAGGCTATTAAAACCTAACAGCAGCTTCTGACCTTATTCATCATTACAAATAAAGAGAACCTGCACTTAAGGGTATTATTTTATTTCCAAGTTAATAAACTAAGAACCCAAGAGTGGTTCGTCATTTACCCTTCTTTTGCCCTGCCAATCCCCATGTGGCTCGGATGTTTGTCAATTTGGAATATTTGTAATGCCTCATGTGCAGCCGAGTCAACTTTGAGAAACTTGTTTCTGCATTTTTTGTTAATTAGAGCATTGCACTGAACTTTTGGACAAAATATAACAAGAAAATAGGATCATATGAACCAAAAAATGGAGAACTTAATATTCAAGTTTGTTAAGATGCAGTAAGATTTCAATGACCGAGTCAACATCAATGGATGCACTTCCACACTCCTTCTGTTCAAGGGTGTCTATAATCCTTTCATTCTCTAGAACCGCAAGAAGCCCTCCAGTTGCACGAACTTGGACCTCACTTTGAATGTCCATCATGGAGTTCAGCTGAAATTATGAAAAGAAACAGGTTAGATGCGATGCGAGTGATTGCATACAGTTGATCTTTCATTTCCAGTAGACATTGGCGAATACATGGGAACATGAGTTCTCTCCCTTAACCACCAAACTAGTTCTTTCTCAACTTCGCAGATTTTAAAAAATCTTTTCTTGTAGAAAGCACGAGGAAAGAGCAACAAACATCTTTTTGAATGAAAAGCCTGTGGAGTAGCCTATAGTATTGAACAGTCAATTTGAGCTAAACAAAAGTGCTTATAATAAGAGGCATGACAAATCAATCTAACACCGAATCAAGAAATTATCTGTACTTACAAAAGACATTCTTTCCCTTATGTTCAACCCATCATCCATCCCTGTGACCCGAAGGTACATTAATCAGGGCAAGAACAGAAAAACAAACAAGAATATATGTGTAAAGTTCTCTGTGAGAACAAAGCTAATGAACTATTTGATGACAGCATCACCAGAAGAACTCATGAAAGAAACGCACAAATGAACTTGGAAGTTCAGGATTGCTTCAAATGAAATCATAGACACACTCTGCCACATTGATTCTGCATCATAGCAGCCCAACAAGAAACCGAAAAAAGTAGCAATCTGCTAATTCCTTATTTTCTCATGTTCGTGAAGTACTTTAGTGGCCAACGAATGGTTATAAGGAACACATATCCCCATTTTACGGAAAAAAGAAAGTCGCAAACATTCAAATACTGCAATGAAACAGTAAGCAAGGACAATGTACTGGTGAAAGAGAGAATAAGGTGAAGTATAGGGCCGTTTCAAGTTATATAACTTATATTCACTTCGGTGGAAATTCACTTTATTTTTTAGACTGAACAGAACTATGCAAGGGGATGTACTAATGCAACATCCTATTGTATCTTCCATACCCATGCCATGCTTGCTCGTAGCTGAATAATGAACTCTTGATAAGCTTTACAGTAGCTGCATTACTTGTTCCATCTGCAATATTTAAACACGTCACAGTGATTTGACATGCAGGAAATTTTTGTTAGCCACTTTAACAGTGAGAATAGCTCCTCACTTTTTGTGCTTGTGTGAATGACGGATGGTTTGGCTTGATAAATTACTGAAGTAGAGTAAAAGGAAAGGATTTATAAGATGCATGAAGAAGAAACAAAACATCCCAAGCCAATTTGTCCTTTTCTCAAATTTCAGATGGGATCTCCAAAACCAAACTATCGTTAAATCAAAAGACACTTAGGAATGTTACCATTAAATCCCATTCGGAAAACCATAAAGCTGGAAAAATCAAATTTATGCTTTACTGGCGGAAAAATCAAATTTACCCAGGGAATAAATCCCAGATTAGCATCCTCTTTTTTCCTTCATCTTCATGTTGAATTTTACATCTAGGTCGTGTAAATTTCAGCAGAGATTAAGGTTCTTGCTTAAAAAGAGGATTGGGGTGTTGATGGTTGTGGATGGCATCAGGTTGTCGAAAAGACCTATGTTTTCAGAACCGGACCGGATATCGACTCGGCCGAGATCAGGGGTCAGGGGTCAATGGGTTCGACCGGGGGTCGATAGGGGTCGAACCGGATGACGTCATAAATAAAAATTATTTAAAAATTAAAATATTATATATAAAATATCTAATAATATGTTAATATTAATAAATGTATATTCATATATATTTGATGTTTCAAATATATTTAACAAAAAAATACAAAGAAATTAGAACAATCAAGTAGCAGTTTATGTTATTTAATAAATATTAACAAGTTTAGAATTAAAATTATGAATTTAATTGAAAAATAACATCAAATTTTAGGACAATATTTATAAAGTATGAAATATTTGAGATATATTAATAAGTTTTAACAATTTAGGGGGCCAAAACATAATATTGAAAAGATTGAGTTTTTTTTTAAAAAAAATGCCCATTGAACCGGAAAAACCGATTTTTTTCCGATCAAACCCGGTCAAATTCGGTTTTTGACCAACTTTGACCGGGCTTTAAATTTTCGATTTTTTACCATGACTCGGATCGAACACTTGGCTGGTTCCCGATTCGACCGGCCGATCCGGTCCGAGTTTCAAAACAGAGGAAAAGACTTGTTTATTAACTTTGAAATCGGGGCATAGGAATGGTCAGTGATGTGTGCTCCTTAGTGGGCCTATTGTTGTGAAAACCAAACTGGATCCATCGACATTTTTTATTAGCTGAGGTATTGTATTTTTTAATTTTAGAATGCCAGACAATAATGACTTAAATCATTTTTTTTTAAGTACAATTGACAGGGTTATTTGGTATTTAGTATTTACAGTTACCTGTGGAAGTCGAAATAAAAACATGGGTGGTGAATTTAATTCCTTTTATTTCACTACATTATTCGGCGGGCATGGGATGGACCGCTTCCTAACAGCAATCAATCAAATAAGGACCATGTTTTTTAATGTGGTACAGGCAGGGTAGGATGGAGGGTCGCCAAATTAAATCCATTTTTAGATGCAATTTGCTGTGTAAAAGGAACAGAACTCCAAATCCACTTCCTTATTGGAAGAAGAAGTCCTAAAGGACCAGGACTCGGTCGTGGTCATGGACCCTATATAAAGAACATGACCTACATCGTTTTCACTTCAGCACAGAGAGAGAAACACTAGTCTAGAATTGAACATGGCGGAGGTAATAAAAAGCAGACCAATCCACTGTTGTACACCCCCTCCGAGCCTATACCCCTGGCTTGTTTTCTTTCATGGCAAAAATATGGAAAACCAAACCTTTTATTGCCAGTCTCAGCCCAGTACTAAAACTGTTAGATCAATTCCTGAGTTGCAGAACATAAGATCTTGGCTGTCAGCCCACGACTGGTTAGTTTTGTCAGAAAAAACTTAGTTTCATCTTTGGAATCCAAAATCTTTGGAATCAATTTATCTCCCTCCTTTGAACCTGCAACCTAGACAACGTTTGGAAGGTATCCTATTACCATCGTTTCCTGCAAATCCCGAAGCATTCTCTTGTTATTTTTGGCTAATCCTTAGAGCATTACGTTCTGTTACATCAAAGACCAAAGGTGGACTATAAGAAGCTGCAGCAAAGAAGAGATCAAGATTATAAGCGGGACCGACCATGGTTGGCATCATTTTTGTTTGCCAATTGTCTGCAATGGTAGAATATATGCTACTACCTATTGCAGACATCGTCTGGCAGAGATTGAGATTGTCAAACAAAGGCTTGTTATAAGATCTCTTCACTGTCAGCTACCTCTTTTCAATCCGTATGCGATCACGTAAAAATGTACTTGGTGGAATCCGATGGGGATCTCTTTGTGATAAATTTTGAGATACACTCCAGGGAAGCAATGAATATTGATGTTTTCAAATTGGACTTCCCAACTAAGATATGGAACAGAGTGGACAGCTACCCAAATAGAGCTTTTTTCTTGAGCAATTGTGAAGCAATTTCATGCCAAATTATGACAATTGATATAGAACGAATAGGAAATCGGGTTTACTTCACATGTTACCAAGACAAGTCCCTGTACTCCTACCACATTGAAGACAAAACTATCTCAACGTCTTCACCTTGTCCAGATCTGTCGACACCCTAGAGCACACCAAATTGGGTGTTGCCTAACCCTGAGGGGACCGAGTACCATCATCATCTAGGTGGAGATCAAAAAGAGGATGGAAAGGAGGATATACAAGTCGGAGCAAAAGGACATTGTGAAACTCAGGAGAAACTTAAGGAAGCAAATTGAACAAGTTTGAACGGAAGGATCAGAAAATGGATCAGACAATGGATGAGGAAGAGGAAGGAAGCTCAGACAAATTAGACAATGGATGAGGAAGGAATAGGAGTGCGAGTTGAACCACACTTGAAGAGAAGGAAATGGGTGTTGTGCGGATAGCCTGGCAGGCCACTTGATGTTGTTAAGAAGTGCTTAAATGATGATCTAAGGGGAGTTGCGTTCCACGTTTAGTCGCTGTGTAAATGGCTTGATGGCCTCCATTGCACCAAAAAAAAAGAAAAAAAGAAAGTTTGAATGATCTTGGTGGTGATTAAGTATTGGCTAAACTCAATCACAAGTGAACAAGTGATAACTGTGCATGGCTGTAAATCTTTTTTAAATTCAAAAAATTTTGACCTTAACTTTTAAGTTCTTTATTTTCTCTTTTAAATCGAGATTCGCCTTAGTTCAAAAAAAAAAAATCTATCCGAGATCCAAAAAGGGAGTTTTACTTCCATAAAATTATTTTTCAGTGATTAACTAGAAACTTGTCAACTATAAATATGTTAACTAAGTTTAATATGTACTTTAGTCCCAAGATGTAAAATATTGTATGTTGCAATGCAATAACTCCAAACACTAACGAACTGCTGCCAAAGCCCAAAGGCAAAAATAACCCAAATAAATCGTACTAAAACTATACATTAGCATTGTGACAAGTAATAATGCAAATTCAAATATTTTTTTTTGAGGGAACAAATTCAAATATTCAATCTTCTTTGGCCATTTCAACATCTCAATCGAAAGAAAAAAAGTCAATTCCTCCTTCCGCCACTGCCTGATTTTTTCCCTGGACTTGGAGCCACTGAGGGAGAGGTCAAACTTAAACGTCGAAGGCCGCAATCCGTAGTCCAAAATCCAAATCCGTACTCCATAGCTGTCCTGTGAGCTCCCTCGGCTCTGTTTCTCATTCCCTCCTTGATTTTCCCCGCTTGAAAATTAGTTCGACCATGCCTTCACAATTTACAGCCTATCATCATTTCTCAGCATAACCTACGCACTCCCGGCGCACCAAAATGGAGGCCTCTTTCGTGTCCAAAGCTAGGACTGCCTTTCATTCAGCTGCTGCTAAAGCGGAAAAAGTCTTTGCGGACATCAAAAAATCTGATTCGGTTGCCGATCGAGGTACATAAATTAGTTAATTCCCCAATCCAACTATTTTGTGTATTTTATTTTTCTGTCATGAATTGCAGTTTACTATTTTTAGACTCCATAACTCGCGGCCTTTTCACTATTTTTTAATCAATTATTTTCTGGTCAAAACACGATCGCGAAACTTGAAGCAGCGGAAGATTCTGATAGACAATCGCCGATTGCTTCGACGCCGGATTCTGTGAGTAGCAAGGACGAATCAAAGGTATTGCATTTCTGCTTTTATTGGTTTACTCAATTTGTTTCGCATTATAATTGATTTTGAAATTTATTGAAACTATCTTAATCTGTTACACTCCCCTGGTTTGGGTGGTTTTGAGATTAAGAAAATGGGAAAATTCAGGTTCTGTTTGATTGCTGATGGGAATAAGAGAAGATTAAAGAAACCATAACCCAAGTTTGAGATTCAAAATTCGCCTTTGATCGAACTGAAAGGGCAGTCAACTTGGCCATGGCATGTCAAATTTGCCTAAGTTCCATTTGATTGTTCTGTCCTTAGGTCCCAATTAATGTGGTAAATGTGGGTAATCTTAGAATTATTTGGCTTTGGTCGTTTTGTGTTGTAATGAAAGAACCGTCAACTCAACCAGGCATTTTGCATTTTCTGAATCTGTTACTGGAATGATACAGAACAGCAGTGATGCAAGGAATTCAAGGAGGAGACCGGCTCCGATAAAGACAAAGCACGACTGGCAGGAGAGGTTTAGAAACTTAAGGATAGGAAGAAGAGGTGCTGAGGAAACTGAGAAAGCTGAAAATCCAACAATGGCCTATGCACTTTTTGATGAGAATATATGCTTTGCAAGTGAGAGAGAAGTGAAGGTATGTAAACTTTGTCACTTGTCTGCTTGATGTTGAAGATTTTGAAGTTTTTAGGTTTTGACTGAACAAACATTGACGTCCGTAGCTGGGAATGTCAGAAAGTTCATTGGCTACGTTACCTGGACTCTTCACTTTCCCTGCTGTACCCACGTCGGACTGTTCATTTTGCACTAGAGTAGCCATATTGGCGGGACCCATTCCCGAGTCCAGCTATCATAGCTTGTGGCTCTGACATGCAATTTGGAGAGCTTGTCATTCATTCACTTGGTTGACTTGTAGATGCTAAAAGAATCTTAATATTCTTAAATTGCTGCTCAACATCTGAATTTGTCTCCTCATGATCAACAGTTCAAAAGAATTGAAGGCTTAGATGTTAGTCTTCTATAAGCTAAAAGCTCTATAAGTGTAGGCCAGTGCCACTGCTACATGTTGAAAACATAACAAGCTACGCAATGTGTTTATACTTTCACCAATGGCATTGTATTGTAACTTTAGCGTCAGACAGGATGGAGATTTTAATTATTCTATTGCCTTAGGAGACCCCTAAGATGGGTGGACTGCAATGAATCAATTGAGTAAACTTGGTAATAAATAATGTCAAGATGCAAATGACTACATTCTTGTTTTATTTGGAAAGATTGGATTATTACAGTATTTTTGGATAATTTGGAATTATCTGGGCCTTCCCTTAGCTGTTGCCAAAATACTGGAGTTTCGGCCATGACGAGGTTATTTATGTATCAGTCTGTATTTTCAGGACTCAAAGCTGGATTCACTGTCTGAAGATTCGAATATCTCAAATGAAAACATTATTCCTGCTACAGCTATTATGAGACAGCTTGCAGTAGCTGTTGAGTAAGATTTCACTTCACCACTTTTGGTGTACTTTCAGTTTTGAGTAGTTTGTTTCACTGGTTTTGAAGTTTGACTTTAGTACTACTGTACTAGGATTGCAAAACAAGTAAAACTCTACTTGTTATATCAGCACCTCTTATTCATACAGGTGCTTGGTCCATGTAATTTGATATAGCTACTGAGGTTAAGATGTAAATTCTTAATGTGCATAACAAACCATGGAATGTATTTTCTTATACACTTCAGTCCTCGACAGGACAAATACTGGACCGCCTGTTATCTTTGCTTCTTTGGCTTTTCCTCATTTTGTATGCGAAAAGGAGGATACTCTTCCAACTTCTTGATGCAAACTTGGCACACCTTGATTAAGTCAATAGACATACAAATGATAATGTTATTGGACCTAAAAGTGTTATAACATTTTAATTTCTTTGGCACTTCTTATCCAGGGCCGCGAAGAAATATAATTCATTGAAGGATCTCCAGGCTTCATCAAGAGACTCTTCACCAGTGAGAGAGAGGGCTGCGTTGGGCTTCTCAGCAATGAAGTCTTTAGTACTACGGGAAAAGGATGATAAGTTCATCAATGAGTTTGGGTCGGATGAGAAAGTAGTCTCTCTGATCAAGTCACTACTAGATGCAGGTAGATGAATGCTTTGCTGATTTATCAGTATGTCTTGCCTTAGCATTTTCCAGTCTTTGTATTCAGCTTTTGCATTGCTGTGTGATATTTTTTATTTCCATCATAATATTTGCATGATACTCACAGAAGGACATTTTCCTGGGAAGAATGGTGACCTTGGCCGAGGAGAATTTATCACTGTCTCGTCTCTGACTAGAGATATTCATGGTGCTCCAGCTGAAAGTTTTGTTGTTAAGCTCTCTGAAGCAATTGGAAGCTTGAAAACCCTGCGGAAAATGTCATCCTTTTGGTGTAGAGTTGTTGCTGAAGTAAGTGGACGGAATTGAACCTGAACTCAAGATATTTGGACTTGTTCTGTTGGGAAAACTTAAATCCTCTGTCTATTTCTTTTTTGGCTTTTCCTGCAACCAAGGACATGCTTGACATGTTGCTACAGCTCCTGTCGTAGTGACACCCTTCTCTAAATGCTACCACGCGAGAATGAGCAGAGCCCAAGCTTGACCTAATTTGTACATCCTGGCATGGATTATGTTATTGCCGACCTTTTAAGCCCTCCTTTGTTGTGTGCTAAACACTCTTTTCTTTGAAGTTGTGGCTCCTACCCGTCTGTGACTACTGTTTGCCTGAATAACATGAAATAATTCTGACATTATGTTTTGTATAATGACTTTTAGTACAAGTTGAGTTTTGTTACTTAGTTTCAAAGCTGTAGTTGATTGACATGAAAAAATTCTTCTCGCGTCACAGTTAAGATGGTCACTCTTCTACAGTCATTTTATGAGGCAATTCAACAACTCATTGACATTCCTCCTCCTCGAGGAACAAGGCGATGGAGTTAAACTATCTTTTAAAGGGTGTCAACCATGATTGGTTTTTACTGCTTAGTTTTTTTTTTTTTTTGTAAGCGGGAGGGTTCGAACCGGAGACCTCTCACATAC